GGTGGCACTTAGCCGCAAATCTATGGAACTGTTTTGGGCATGAAATCCTGGGTTCGTTTGGGGAAAACGATGACTTCCATAAAATTTCTGAACCCCTGATCTGATTTGGGTGATTTTTGAATATGTTGTTTACCCAGATCAGGGCTATCGGGAATGTATGGGGATATGTTGTGTTTTGGGGTACTTATGGGACTTTATAAAAATGTGTGTTTTTCTGCCTGTGGATAATTAAGTTAATGCATTAACTACCTTAATTATATCACAGGCAGAGGGGAGGGATTGTTTACTGTATGTGGGAGTGTCATACTGTTAATTACTGTTTTGATTGGTTTGCACGTCTTGGAATTCGGTGCTCCATCAGGTCCAGAGGGTGTTCCCCTGGCCTGACGAATTGTATAAAAATGTGTAAAGCAATGCTACATAAAGGAATGTGGATAAAGGAATGTTGGGTAAATAAATGATGGATAAAAGAATGCTAGGGAAAGGAATGTTGGATAAAGGAATGTTGGGTAAAGGAGTGTTGGATAAAGGAATGTTAAATAAAGGAATGTTGGGTAAATGAGTGCTTGGCAAAGGAATGGCGGGTAAGGGAATGTTGGATAAAAGAATGCCAGGTAAAAGAATGTTGGGTAAAGGAATGTTGGGTAATTGAGTACTTGGTAATGCAATGTTGGGTTAAGGAATGTTGGGTAAATGAGTGCTTGGTAAAGGAATGTTGGATAAAGGAATGTTTAGTAGGGGAATGTTGGGTAAAAGAATGCTAGACAAATACATTTTGGATAAAGGAATGTTGGGTAAAGGAATGCTACATAAAGGAATGTTGGATAAAAGAATGCTAGGTAAAGAAATGTTGGGTAAAGGAATATTGGGTAAAGGAGCATTGAGTAAAATAATGTTAGAAAAAGGAATTTTGGGCAAATTAGTGCTTGGTAAAGGAATATTGGGTACAGGAATGTTGGATAAAGAAATGTTGGGTAAAGGAATGTTCGATAGAAGATTGCCCTTCAGACAGAGCTCTTGTTTCATGTGATCAGATCACAGTGCGTAGAGAGATATAGGGTAAATACCAGAGATGGGTTTAGTGTCAGACTAGACCTAGAGATGTGTGATCAGTGGAGGCAGGACATGGGTAGTTAAATTACCCAGGACAGAGGATTAAATACAGGAAACCACCTAATGTTAATATTGACGAGGAACAACAGCTGTTTGAGCAAATTGAGAAATCTGCAAATCTGGGTAACACTTTAATTATTGGAGATTTTAATTACCCGGATATAAATTGGGACAGAGGGACTAGTAGCTCAGCAAAGGGAATTAGGTTTTTAAACTTGTTAAATGACACCTTCATGTCACAACTTGTACAAGCACCAACTAGAATGGATGCTTGTCTGGACCTGGTTTTAACAAACAACGTTGATCTTTTGACCAACATTCAAGTAGGTGAGCACTTGGGAAATAGTGATCACAATATAGTGTCCTTTGAAATAAACTCAAAAAAACAAAAGCACATGGGGAATACTAAAACATATAATTTTAAAAAGGCCAATTTCAATAAGTTAAGGGAAGCTTTACAATATATTGACTGGCATAAACTCTTTAGTGAAAAGAACACTGAGGATAAATGGATCATCTTCCAACAAATATTACAAAGGTACATTTCTCAGTATGTACCGTTGGGAAATAAATATAAAAGAAACAAATTAAAACCAATGTGGCTTAGTAGAGAAGTAAAACAAGAGATTACAACTAAGAAAAGGGCATTTAAAGCATTTAAATCGGACAAATCAGATGCATCTTATAAAAGATATAAGGATGCAAATAATGCGTGCAAAAAGGCAATTAGACTTGCTAAACTTCAAAATGAAATAATGATAGCTAAGGAGAGCAAAACCAACCCCAAAGCATTATTTAAGTACATAAATTCTAAAAAAATTACATAAAATGAAAGTGAGGCACATTAAAAACTGGAACTGGGGTTGAAGACCAGGAAAAGGCAGATATTTAAAATTATTTCTCCTCCGTATATATTAAGGAAGAACCCATGGCAATAGATGTGCAAATGATTGCTGCTAAAAACTTGCATAATAATTGTAATTTTTTAACTCAAGACAAAGTGCTGCAGCAACTAAAGAAAGTTAATATAAACAAAGCTCCAGGGCCTGACGGTATCCATCCACGTGTACTTAAGGAACTAAGTGCAGAAATAAGTGAACCTCTGTTTTTAATCTTTCAAGATTCTTTTCTTTCAGGAAGTGTTCCGGAGGATTGGAGGAAGGCAGATGTGGTTCCTATATTCAAAAAGGGTTCAAAATCCTTGCCTGGAAATTATAGACCTGTGAGCTTAAGGACCACTCTTAGGCACCCAGACCACTTCAGCTTAATGAAGTGGTGCCAGGTCCAAATAGGGTTAACATTTTCATAAACATAGCAGTTTCAGAAGCTGCTATGTTTTCGAATGGGATTAAACCTTCCCCTAATCCTCTGGTGGCTGTCTCTAGAGGCGCTTTCACTGTGAAAATTTTGAGAACGCATAGTCCATAAAACGTATGAATTTCCTTGTGCCCGGCTGAATCTTGTGCGCGGCTGTGCAGCGTGGCATTCAGCCGCATGGGAGGAGAAGAGGAGGATCGGAGGAGGAGAGCTCTCCGCCCAGCGCTGGAAAAAGGTAAGTTTTAACCCCTTTCCCCTTTCCAGAGCCGTGCGGGAGGGGGACCCTGAGGGTGGGGGCACCCTCAGGGCACTATAGTGCCAGGAAAACGAGTATGTTTTCCTGGCACTATAGTGGTCCTTTAACTTCTGTGACTGGAAAGGTATTTGAAAGGTTATTAAGGGACAATATTCAGCAATTCCTTGAGAAGAACATGGTTATCAGCAAAAATCAGCATGGTTTTATGAAGCACAGGTCATGTCAAACTAACTTGATTGCTTTCTACGAAGAAGTAAGTAGAAGTATAGATCAGGGTGTTGCCGTGGATGTGATCTATTTGGATTTTGCCAAGGCATTTGATACAGTTCCACACAATAGATTAGTGTTCAAACTCAAGGAAATCGGTCTAGATGAAAATGCTTGTTCTTGGGTAGAACATTGACTTAAAAATAGAGTACAAAGAGTTGTCATCAATGGTAAATTTTCAAGCTGGACAGAGGTGGCAAGTGGTGTCCCTCAGGGTTCTGTTCTGGGACCCCTTCTATTTAACATGTTTATAAATGATCTTGAAGACAGCATTGAAATTCATGTTACAGTGTTTGCAGATGACACAAAACGCTGTAAAATAATACAATGTGAGCAAGATATTACTTTGCTGCAGAGGGATTTAGATAGACTGGGGGACTGGGCACTCAAATGGCAGATGAAATTTAATGTTAAAAAATGCAAAGTTATGCACTGCAACGTATAGCCTTAATGGAAGCGAATTAGGGATAACAACACATGAAAAGGACTTGGGAATTGTTATAGACAACAAACTATGCAACAATGTGCAATGTCAATCAGCAGTGGCCAAGGCCAGTAAGGTATTGTCATGCATGAAAAAGGGCATTCATTCTCGGGACGAGAATATCATTTTGCCTCTCTATAAATCACTGGTGAGACCCCATATTGAATATGCTGTGCAATTTTGGGCACCTGTTCTAAAGAAGGATATTATGGTACAAGAAAAAGTGCAGAGGCGGGCTACAAAATTAATAAAAGGAATGGAACATATCAGCTATGAAGAAAGGTTAACAAATTTTAAACCTATTTAGTTTAGAAAAACGTTGCCTGAGAGGGGATATGATAACATTATACAAATATATTAGGGGCCAATACAAGGCTTTGTGTGGAAATCTATTCACAAACCAGACTTTACATACGACACGAGGCCATGCGTTTAGACTGGAAGAAAGAAGATTTTGTCTAAGGCAAAGAAAAGTTTTTTTACTGTAAGAACAATCAGGATGTGGAATTCTCTGCCTGAAGAAGTGGTTTTATCAGAGTCCATACAGATGTTCAAACAGCTACTAGATGCATACTTGCAAAAACAGAATATTCATGGATATAATCTTTCAATGTAGGGTAATAACTGCTTGATCCAAGGATAAATCTGACTGCCATTCTGGGGTCAAGAAGGCTTTTTTTTCCTAATTTGTTGCAAAATTCGAAGTGCTTCAAACTGTTTTTTTTTTGCCTTCTTTTGGATCAACAGCAAAAAACAAATGTGAAGAAGACTGAACTTGATGGACGCAAGTCTCTTTTCAGCAGTGTAATTATGTAACTAAGTAACTATGATAATGAATATTGAGTATGTTGGTGTATGTGAATGTTCAATGCTTGTATATCATTTGCCAATCTGTAACAGCAGTGGTATTGTCCATCCTGATAATATTTACTCTGCGTATTTTGCATCTTATTGTCTGCAGATCTTATCAAAATGTCTACAAACACTGTGTGTGTTAAGCACGGGCATTTGATTTTACTGAATAAAATGTATATATTTAGCTCAAGTAGTTATTAACATTCCGTATAGAGGTTCTCTGAAATATTCCTGTGGTCAAAGCTAGGCCGATATCCAAATGTTTTAGACACGTCCAAAATTAAGCACCATCTGAGTTCATCCAGGGCTGTCTAAGCCTCGCTGTCATTTTAAGACCCAGGCACAAGACATCGAGAATCCACCTTAAATTGGTCACAACTTGTTACTATAGTTAAAACATGCACAGGTAGATCTGAATAAATCACTTTTGACTACCTCACTTTTTATGGGACAGGACACCTCCCAAGTGTCCCATTTGTGAGGTCACAATCTTAATGTGGGTCCCACCTCCTGCCAGGTGACCCTTTCTGCTATACCAACCCCACACATGAGACATTTCAGATGTGTCCAGCTGGTTCCAGGCAGCCAAACCTTTACTGCAGTTGACAGATGTTTTATTTTTCTCTGTAATTTGAAATGTGCAAGTGTAGTGATGTCCCGAACGGTTCGCCACGGACTCATCATTGAGTAAACTTTAACCCTGTACCTCACAGTCAGCAGACACATTCCAGCCAATCAGCAGCAGACCCTCCCTCCCAGACCCTCCCACCTCCTGGACAGCTCACTAAGAATGCAGCTTCAAAATGGATGCTGTCCAGGAGGTGGGAGGGTCTGGGAGGGAGGTCTGCTGCTGATTGGCTGGAATGTGTCTGCTGACTGTGAGGTACAGGGTCAAAGTTTACTCAATGATGAGTCCGCGGCGAACTGTTCGGGACATCACTATGCAAGTGTATTGTTATTTTATTTTGCATGCTTTGTATTGCATTGACTAAAATTATGAAAATATGGGACAGCTGTAACCTTGTTGTAAACAAAACCTCCCCAAAACATCAGCTCTATATATTAATTACAACATGCTATAAAATAACTAATTTAGACAATGTGTGTACATACAGTATGATTGTCATCGTCTGATAGTCACTGGCTGATAATCTGTATTAACTCTGCATAACTGGCCAACTCTGAAGGCCAATCACCTTGACACCCAGCACCAGAAATCTTAAATACTACCAGGTAGGTAGATAGGTAGGTATGGGACCAGCCAAGTATAGTGATTTGTACGAGATCTCACAAAATGCTTCTTAAAGGGACACTATAGTCACCAGAACAACTACAGCTTATTGAATTTGTTCTGGTGAGTAGAATCATTACCATCAGGCTTTTTGCTGTAAACACAGAGAAAATGCAGTGTTTACATTACAGCCTAGTGATACCCCCACTGGCCACTCCCTAGATGGCTATTAGAGATCCTTCCTGGGTCATGGCTGCCTAAAATGCATCCAAACATTCAGTGTCTCCTCCCTCTGCATGCAGACACTGAACTTTCCTCATAGAGATACATTAATTCAATTCATCTCTATGAGGAGATGCTGATTGGCCAGGGCTGTGTTTGAATCATGCTGGCTGTGCCCCTGATCTGCCTCCGCGTCAGTCTCAGCCAATCCTATGGGAAAGCACTGTAATTGGATTAGGCTACCACTTCTGAGGATGTCAGCAGACTGCTTGTTTTTCTGAGTCTAACAGCATGCAGAGTTACAGCTCCAGGCTTGAATAATTAAGATTTTTACTATATTTATGGAGGCATGAGGGGCCCTGGGGGGTGGTGGTGTTAACACTATAGGGTCAGGAATACATGTTTGTGTTCCTGACCCTAAAGTGATCCTTTAAAGTGCATGCAGTCCAGGCTATAGGCACCATAAACTATGCTTACTATAAAAATAAATAGTGCGGGGACGGCTTTAAATAATTTATTCTTTCATTATTCCTATTCATCCAGATATTTGTCACCAGTGTGGTAAGTACCACCTACAGTATACTTTGTTTATGTGTCCTATTATACTCCCTCAGAGACACATGAATGGACACAGGGTGAAGCATCTCTCCTGCCACTGGTGGCATCAGTACGGAAAGTGTCTGAGAGTGGGACGGGTTGTTGTCCCTACGTTAGAATACTATCTGGTTTGACATCTCACTACATGTGTGAGCATCGCTTACTAATACATTTATAGTTTAGCAAGAGATTGTTTTGGTTCAGGAAATCATTTTTAATTTTGATTCAAAGTTAGCTCAAATATTAATTTGGTTCGATACAAAAATGTATATTTAAAATAATTGAATACATTTTTTTTAAAATTTATATTTTATTGGTTTTATATAAAGAAATGCGGGGTACAAAAGAGAAGAGGGGGTAGGTTAGTTAGGGTACACATATCATGGGTATATCAACAATAGCTGACTTGCCACATTGCAGCGAGTAAGCATATATGTCAACATTCACCCTGGTACAGCAAATTTCAGTACAATCTTGACTTATTTACATTCACCTCTGTTATACTGCTTTTGGAGATATTATGGTAATGCTGGTTACAGGTGTCCACCTGTTCAGGGTGTTCTTTCTATAAATACAGGGGTTTGCTATTAGCTGTACTTGTTAGCATTCCAATATACCACTACTATTAGGTATTATATGCCGGTCGGGTACCCATAGATTATGCAGAGTTGTGGTGTAGCTTGTGCTACGCTGATTAGTGGGTAACCTGAGTGTACCTTACTTTTGGGTTTGAGGGGGGAGGGGATGGGATTCACAAATGGGATTTGGAGAGGGGGAGGAGGGTATGAGTATGTCAGTAGTTCGTCTTGGCCTTACATATATAAATGTTCACGTGTATAGTTGGGCAGTTGAGGAGACATCCCGCTGGTTATGTTGGGTTGCTGTGTTGGGCCAATGGTGGACTTCCACTCGGTCCCTGCCCGACCCGCCCAAACTCCCTCTCCCATTCCTCCCAGTTACCTATGAACTCCTGCATATTCTGGGAAGTCGTTACTGCCATTTTTTCGTACCTGTAGAACTGTTCTATCTTAGCCAATAACTGGGCCTGAGAGGGGCTATCTTGTGATTTCCAATGTAATGCCATGAGATTTCTCGCAGCTAGCATAGTCAGCGCTGTAACTTGTTTCTGTCCAGGGGACAGGTGGGCAGGGAGTAGCAGCAGTAAACAAGTGGCTTTTGTTAGCGTAAAGCTAGGAATACCCATTTTATCTAGGGCTAAGCGCACCGTGGTCCAAAGGGGTTGAATATCCTTGCATGACCACCACAAGTGTATTGAAGTCCCTATGGTCGAGTTACACCTCCAACAAGCCTGGGATGTAGTGGGGAATATTCTGTGAAGCCTTTGTGGGGTCATGTACCAGTGGTATAGGAGTTTTTTGTGGGATACAATATGTGAATAGCACTTTGTCCACTTGGGGCATGAAGCCAGTCCCCCTCTGTCAGCTTTACATCACAGTCCTTCTCCCATTGAGCCTTATGTGGGTGTGTCTTAGTTGGTGACAGTTCCTGCCATGCTCTATAGCATAGTGTAAGCGCTTTAGGTTTAGTGGGTGATGCCCAGCATCTTTATATAAGTAGGTGCGGGGCGATCCAGGTTGAGTCATGTGTCCCTTGTGAGGCCGGCATGTGTGCATTTAGAACACTTTTCAGTTGGAGATAGGAAAAGATAGCGCGTTTCGGAATCTGCCACTGTGTTTGCAGATCTGGGAACGGAATTATTTTATTGTTATCTATTAGTTGGGATATTTTTGTGATTCCTGCCTCATTCCAATGTTTGGGATGTCTGGCCCCACTGCTCTGAGAGCTGAAATGGGTGATTTAGGGTGGAAGGTGTTTCTGTGTCCTCCGGCTCCCATGAATTCATCCCATGCTGCTATTGTAAGTTGGGTAGTTGGGAATAAGTCAGGTTTCTTCATTCTAAACTGTCTGGGTGTCCATAAGTAGTCAGTGAACGATTGTTCCTGGAATTGTGCTTT